TGGGGACTAACTCTCAGTGTTTGTACTTATAAAATGCTGGTGACCTCCACACCCAAGCTGGGTGCTTTGCACAGACTAAGTAACTGGCAGGTTTTTGTTGCAGCGTGAAAGAGCTTCAGCACTAAGAAAGGAGATGCACAGGTGTGGTGCAGTCGTGTGCATAAACTCACACTGGTGATAACACACTGCAGAGGACAGTGCTGAATGTTAAACTTACTGACTTTTTACCTATAACCAAAGCCCTAAAATAGGAACTTGTAGAATCAGCTCAGAAAAACTGCCATCTGCTGGTCAAGTGAGAGACACACTCCTTCAAGCAGTCCTTGTCGTATAGCTACAGCTTTACCAAACAAGATTCAATGTAATAGCTTGTGACCCAACAGAGCTTCTCATCAAATGATCTGAAGCAGGATGTTTTTTGATGGAATATTTGGTTGGTTGGTTAGAAAATGCTGTTTCACTTCAACTGACATTGTCCTTGAGAATATTTAGTATAATTTCATTTTGAAGAAAAACAGAGATGTTTCATTCTGAAGATGGCAAAATGTGTTTCTAAGCCTTTGGAAAACTTCACTTGTTTTGGTGTCAAGACAATTCTTTCTTTTCAGATTGGTTAAATAATAAATTACAAATCAAAAAGTCTAAATTGAAATAATTTCTTGTAAGTGACCAACACCAATGGTTTTTGACATTTTGTTTCACTGTAAATTTTGAAATTCTGTGTTTTGTTCTGATTCAGAATGAAAAAAAATGTTTAAATTGGGGAAACAGAGAAAGTATGGCCCACCCAGTGTACCAACATAAATTAACTTTGTACAGCCTGAATACAGGTATTTTATAACTTTGAGGTACTTGGGTTTTCTTAAGACACTTTTATTGTAGCTTTTTAATTTACATTCTTAATGTTTTTAAAAACTCAAACTCAAAATGAATGAAAAAGTCATCTTATGGTGTTGAAGAGCCCCCCTGCTGCATGGATCATCAATATGGTTGAGATCTGTAGATCCACAGTGCAGTGTCCTACCATCTGTATTAATATAGTATCTCAGTGTTGCCTGAACTTGTGTGCTTATATCGTACCACAGCACAGTCAGGCATTTTCACTTTTTCAAGTGGTGCTTCTGCTTCCTTTGCCACTAATTGCTGCAATCCCCCTTGCTGGGGAGGGAGATCCTCTTGTGGATAAAAGGCCATTTGCCTTGGTCTCTCTGACTTAATTCTGTTCCCTTCAGCTCCTTTTCCTTTCCCCAGTTCTTGCCCCTTTCCAGTCCACTGTGACTATTGCCTCAGCTCCTGCCCCTTTCTTCCATCTGCACCCATTTTCATGTGTCTGTTCCTCTCTTTGGTCTCTGACCCACGTCCCCCAACCCTTATTTGTGTCCTTTCCACTTCCATGGTGTCTGTCCCTCTTCCTAGTTTTTGTTCCTCACTCCCTTCCCTGCCATGATATTATTCTCCCTCCCTGTTGACAAGCTCCTGCTCCTGTCTTCCCACACTTGGTGTCTTTTCCAACCTAATCCCGATGTTGTTCATCGGCCTATATCTGTTCTTCTCCCTTCTGCACACGCATCAGCAGCAAGAGCATAGTGAGAACAGGACAGACCCTCTTCTTGCTTGTGATGCTGTTGCTGGTGACACAGTAGCTCCAGCAGGTGGGAGGAGCGATTACTAGCAATGACCTAATCAACTTTTGCAACCCTGAGCTAAGGGGTGGCTCGAGGGAGGCGGGGCTGTGCACTGATGCAGTTGCAGCTCATTAATTCCTGCTCCATCTAAAATTTAAAACCAATTGCCTTGCAGTGGCAGCAGCATTGCTGTTCATGCAGCAGTGAGAGCATCAGTTGTATCCATGGCACATTAAAATCTACCTGATTCCTTCTAAATTCTTGATTCACAGGTGTTAATGACCTTCTCTCCTTTATAAAGGTCTTGATGTTCCACTAATCAAGCTAGACTTTCTTTTGCAGTTCTATTGTCTGTCAGGTGCTCTTGGTAACATAGCTCCTATTTTGTAGCCCTGCTGACTGTTCCTAGCTCATTCCAATTAAGTAATATTTGTTCTTTGCTTCAAAGATGAACAGAATGGTACAGCCCTAGTTCCCTAGCATATTAGTAAAGTTTTCAGCTTCTTTTTACCTGGAGAAAAATAGATACTGTGTAACAGGATGATGCATCATCTGTACCACTTTTCCAAATCCTAAATCTGCGCGTGTCTAGGCTGGGACATGCTCGGCAGAGATGAAATCTTAGAGAATATAGCTGTTAACCATTAACCAACCTCTCCTAAGTGCATGCAAACTCCAATTATTCAGAGACTTCTTTCGTGGCCAGATTTCATGAGTGTGCTGCATGGACACAGGAGGAAGCCCCCAGCCAACTCTCAAATCCCTGAATCAAACCATGGGAAGGTTAAGGCTTTGCAAAGGAGGCGTATGAATTTTTAACATGGAAAAATAATGTGTTTTCCTTAATATTATATGTGCAAATAAGTTGAACATTTTAGTTAAAAACTTCAGAAAATATTCTGGGTTTGGTAGTCACCCAGAATAGACAATTTCTGCTGAACTACAAGCTATGGTTTGTAACAGAAAACAGGGTCTTATGTCAGAAGGTGTCAGATATCTTAAGCATCCCATACTGTCCATAAGCCTGTTCTCAGACCTGTGGTACCTGTGAACATCTCCCACAGGAAAAGCTGTTATTTGCTGGGATTATACTGTACAGCAAATATTCTACATAGCGGAAATAGTTATGCTGCTCAGGAAATGCATTCCAGCTGGGACTTGCTTGATGATTATATTTTATCTGGGATTCTGTGACCTCTCCCTCCAACGTCTCATCCAAGAAAGCAACTACTGTATATGGTAAAGAATTGGAGAGTATGTTAATAGGAATAAAGAAATTCACTAGTAAAACATTTATATTTTATTGCTTTTCAGTTGTCAGTCCAGCGGATGATTTTAAATACCCAAGGGAGGGGTCTTGCCCTGTTTCACAGTGTGACCTCCTTTTCCTCACCCTACAGCTATCCTTTGACTAGGTTCCCTCAGATAATTCCCAGAATTCTTTGTACCAGTCCCCATAGTATTTTAAACTTAGCACAATGGGCGTGAGTGTAATACTTTTGGCATCTGAGAAAAAGGACTCACAAATACCTAAATCAGTTCACTTCACTGGAAGACTGGAGAAAGAAACCCACTGTTTCCTCTCACTGTTGCTTGTTCTACATCAGTGTCACAGATTTCAGTGGACTCACTCCTAATGAACACCCTTGTGAGGGGTGAATCAGGTACTGAGAATTGTCTTGTGCTCTGTTCTCAGGATTTGCTAGTGACCTTCTTGAGTATTGTATGTAACTATAGAAACCATTCTTCTAAGAAATGTTTTGGCTTCCAAAGAAAATAATTATATAATTTTCTATCTCTGGCCTGAAAAAATGGATCACAGACTGTTCAAATTAAAAGGATAAAGCACCCACAAGGTCAAAATCATCCACATCAGTATTGATAGGTGAAGGTTTTTCTGATGCTGAATTGGGCTTTTCTGATGCACGAGGTTAAAGATCCTCATTTGTAAATAATCTGGACTATTCAGGAGGATTTATGAGTTATATAATTGATTTCCATGGCTTTCCAGGACACTTGGGAACAGGGGGTTCTGGGAGATCTGGAAGCTTATCTAATAAAATATCAGAAGCAATTTCAACAGTTGCAGGTCTAACTGGTTCTGCAGGGATAGCAGGGGTAGAAAAATCATCTCCTGGACCCACCATAACCACAGGAGTAGTTAATGCATCTGACTGCAATAGACCTCCGTCTACGCTTGGTGGCTGGCTTTCACTTGGGCAAGGGACCTTTTCCTCTGTTTCTTCAGAAGACTTGTCTTTGGAGTCTTTATGTTTGTCCTTCTTATGATGTTTTTTATGCCTGCACCCAATTTCATGCTCTCTTCCATGCCTCTCTCCATGCTCAGGTCTATGCTTAAACCGATGCCCATGGCCATGTCCATGTCCAACCCTACATGCATGCCCAGCCCCTTGTCCATCCTCAATTTCATGCTCCTTAGCCGATCGGAGAGGGGTGAATCCATTAGAAAATCTGCCGCCAACCTAAAAGGAATTGTTAGATATTTAGACAAAGAGATTACAGTAATTTAATGATTAGCACATGGTACACTGTTTGCAACAAAATCATGCTATTCCATTTGAGGTTGCAGTGTAAACGTTTAAACAAAAATGTTTGAAGCGCCTGTGGAGAGAGGGAGTTTTCTGGGTTGCCTGAGCTTGGTACATTAGTTTCAAATATTTGATAAGGAGCAAACTATAGCTGAGGTGTAATGTGAACCAGTTAACAAAAATGTTTTATCTGGGCTAAGTTAGAGAATCTTATCCATCTATGATCTGTATGGAAATAATTTAACTATATATAACCACTCTTCCAGAAATATTCAAAATTGTTGGGAGATTATAAGTAAAGAAATTGCTTCATCTGTCACTGATGTTTAGCTGCTTCTAGCATGGAAAAGGACAGTGTGGCATAGCCCACTCAGATGAGAGTTGATGCTATTTGTAAGTGTGTATATTAGTTCTCATTTGTGAACAATTTTGAAACTACAGTGCCCTTTGCATAGTCATAAGATATCATATCAAGGAGAAAAAACAATGTGGTATTTTATATCAAACGCTAGTTTCAATACAGGCACAAAGCAAATACCTGGCTCATTTTATTTTGTGAAGCACTACATAATGAATTCTTAGTTGCCAGATTTAAAATACATATTTGGAACCAGTGGGAAATGATTAACATAGGTTAATGTCTACACCCCCACCCCACCATGCGTTTAAGAATAGGTGATCAACGCAGAGCTTTGTTTCGTGCAGTAATATAGAACACCGTTTATAAGAATGCCTTCTCATCTAACCAACAGAGACTGATTGCTCTTCCTACATCAAATGTCTAACATGGTTTGGCTTCTGCTCATTAGAACCCCTGACCCTTATCTAGCCACTGTACGAGGAAACCTAGGGTGAAACCATATTTGAAATCCAATGGCAGGTGTACTATGGTTAGTAGCACAGACATGATCCAAGTGGTCATGGTCAGTCAGTACACATATCTCAGATATGGGGCTGGTATGGTGGAATGGGGGGTTGTGGAAACTGCTGCTTCAGAAAAAACAACTATCTCCTCCCCTGATAATAAACACAGATTAGCAGTCATTTTTGAGATTTCTGAACTCCTGAGACACATCCACACAAGCCTGTACATGTGGTATGCAGCTCTGGATATCTGTTTTTAGTGGTGCAAACCACACGTGGCGAATGTGACTCGGCATACCATGCTGAAAATTTGCAGCACAGTGTCAATATTTGATACGGGGATGTCCTTGTCCCGGTATCGCAAAAGTAAAGCGGCACGGAGCACACAGCAGTAGCATGTGTCACCAGAAAAGGAACTTGGCTGTCCACAGCTATGGTCTGGTGGCCAGCTAGATTCTATGCAGCTGGATTGGCGCTGCGGGGGTCGATAATCCTCCGCACCTCATGAATTTGAGTTTGACAGTAAAAGCAAAGGAGCAGGCATCCAATCACCAAAACAGTGTCTATGTATTCTGCTGCTTTCTTCTGCATCTTCTGTTCTTTCTCACGTAGCCCAGGATATCATACATTGCCTTAGTTCAGCTTATGTGTCACAAAGCCACCAGAGTCACAGGGTGAAAGGACAGTTCATGACATTACTAACATGACAACAAGTAAGCATTTCCCTCCTGTCACTTTAGAACAAATCAGAGCTAATCTGAGAACTGAATGGATAGAGGAGAGCAAATATTTTTCCATGACACAGGGTGCATTTACATGTGTGCCCCACTGTGCATTTGTCACTGGGCAATCATGTAGTACTCATGGCTACAGTGACATAGCATCTCATGTAGATGAGCCTCCTCCCCCTTTACTTACTGTCCTTCAAGTAGGCTGAAATGGAAAAATAAATTTATTTAGGATTCGTACCATGACCATTTCAGTGCAGTTAACCTGAGGGAAGATTTCCTGCTTCCATGGCACCACATGTATTTTTGCTGTGCAGTCTAAAGATATCTGTGACCAAAGCAAAAAGGAAATGAGATTTTAAAACAATAAAGTATCACAAAGAAACAGAATTTTGTGTGCATAATGATACAGATTTTTAATTATACTTTTAAACACAATGAATAGGGAATGTATATGTATATCTATAAAATGTAGCTGTCATAACTATGGAGGTTCCTCTACTGGAAAACATCCCCATTTAGTTTTATTTAGCTTTAGGAAGCTTACATGGATCATACAATTGAACACACAACAATAATTTGTAGCACATTTAATGTACAGTGCTTTACAAGATTAAGTAGTTAATCCTCCCAAAAGCTCTGAGATGTAGGGAAGTATCAATGTTGTTATCCCTATGTAAGATGGGTAAATTGAGATAGACAGGGATTAAGGGCAAAAGCTGGGTTTGCAGCTCCTTGCAGTCACATTTTTCAATTGGAGAAATGAGCACTATGCAGCTGGGAAGAAAGGAGAAAGGGAATAAAACTCCCCTGCCCACCAGCCCCTCCTGCCTTGGAGCACCATTTCCAGCAGTGCCTCCTTCCACCAAATCCTCTCAGCATCAAATGCATTCACTTCAGCACCACCAGCCGATCTTTCCACCTAGCCATGCTCTCCTTTGTGTCCAGTCCATTAGGCGCATGCCCTCAGGAACACAATACTCCAGTATCTGGGTCTTCCCACCCCCTGTCTGCTCCTTCCCACCTTCCAGCTGGATTCACAACTGGAAAATGGCCCCAAATTGTCCCATCAACTTTGCACCATGTACAGAGACTGTGGCATGAGGGATGGCTGATATTTAGTGAGTTGGTTGGCTAGCGGAAGAGGCAACTGAACCTAGAAACACAATAGTGTTGTTTTACATGAGTTTACGATATACATCCTCTGGTGTTATTCTGTTTGGTGAATTAGGAAACGTGCTGAATGTGGTAGCCCGTAGCATCCTGATTACTTACGTTAGAAATTACAGCTTCACAGTCTTCATTTAGTTTCTCCACTTCTGACTTGGAGCAGTTCGTCTCCCGAATACCAAAATGTATCTCATATTTTTTTCCAGCAACTATCTGAAAAATCAGTCAGAAGGTTTCCTCAGTAAATATGCATTTTTTTCTCATACAGGGATCACAGAAAATAAAAATGGTATTCTAAAAAGAAGCAACTGACCCGAAGAATTGTGAGCATGAAAAATGTCATAATCTGCATCTATTCTGATTGACTCATTTTTTATACTCCATTTGACCTGCTAATATTATAGTATTGCAACTGGAGGAAAAAAGAACATAAAGGGCAAAATGACATAAGGCTCAGGAATGATGGCTTACAGGCATGGGGCAATGTAAAAGAAGGCATGCTGCAGAAAGGCAAATAAGCAGGAAGTTGTAGCTAGTACAATTTGGGGAAGTAGAGAAGATGGGGATTTTTTTTTTTAATCCTGTGCAGCGTATAAACTGATTTGTTTTGGCTTTTTCCCAATTAGGTGGGTATTTTTACTTTGAATATGAGTCTCATCACTCAGGATTTTAGTCAATGTATCTTGCTACAAACAAAGAAGCGTGTGTCAACTGAAAGCTGCAGCAGTGAGTATTAAGGTCCCATCTCCCAGTACTGAAATGATAACTGCTTATAATATAAGTATTTGAATTTTTCAGATTCACTAAAGGAAAAGAATTGAGTAGAGGGGTTAGAAGAGGTTTGCATTGCTCTATAAGGCATTTAGCACAGGATAAATTATGGTGAATATTCATTATTTCCTGACAATAAGACCTGTTTAGGTCTACAATAGGAACTATTTATTTATACAGTGCCATAAGTGTGCATTCTCATTTATTGACAAGTTGAAGATATGGATCAAATTTGGTTACAAATCTGGATTCTGCTCTGCAATTTATAGTGGTGTGAATCTATAGTAACTCTACTTTTGTGACGTCACTATGGTATGTTACCAAAAGCAGAATTTGGAAGTAAGTACTTAGATTATGAAAGAAATAAGGAGGAAATCTATTTCTGAGCCTGTGAAAACTATTGTCAAACAAGGCATCAGAGACTATTATAGGATAGAATGCTGAGCCTGGAGCATGCACTGAATAATCTTACCTAATACCTTGCTTTGCATCTTGGACAGCTATAAAACGTTGAAAAAGGTTTGGTAAAGAAAGACGTGGGGAAAAAAGCAGATCTCTGAATCTGTATCTATCCCTAGGGTTTCGGGTCCCTGCCATATTGAAATGGTATTGAAGGAATGATTTTTTTTACTCCCTTTTGGATACAAAGTAAGATGATTGAAATTTTGAGAGTACAGGTGAAATGGTGGTTCAAACTGAGCCTTGATTCAGCTCTTACTTGTAGATGTACCACATCCTAAGCCCATCTCTACAAGATAAGGAGGGATGAGATTAAATGAAACTGAATTTAAAAAGGAAGGTTAAATTCCAACCTGGACTGTGGCTTGGAATATGCTTTCAATTTTATAGTAGAAATCAGAAGTGCTCTCTGAATTGTATTTCTCCATGGAAGCCTTCAGTACTTCCTCCAGTTCTGGACTGTCAACTTGGATTGGAACTGGACAGCCTACACAGACTGGTTTTCTTTCTGCAGTTCCCTCATCAGAAAGAAACATTGGGTTACAAATAAATCCAAAGAATAAAACAAGATGCAGTGTGTATTAGGGCTGGGGAGCCACCTGTTTGGAAATCCATAGCTATCTGAATGGAATGTGTTTGAGCCTAAGAGTCTGAACCTAAATATTTGAGCTTCCATAGGAGGCATGTATGTTGATGTACTGGAGAGAAATGTAAATTTAACAGTTAAGGCTAGATAGGGTATTTGATCAATAATCTGCTTCTAGAAGTGAGAGTTGTGTACACAAAGTATATTTGGTAGACAAGACACAAACAGACTCATCTGCAAATAGGTGAGTGCTGGATTAAAGGAAATGAGACAACATCCAGCCTTGAAATCTCTGAGTGCACATTATAAGGCATGAACAACTGTATTTTTGAGAATATCATAAGCATTATTTGAAGGAGAACATGTCTGGGGGTATGTCCACATTGCATTCAGTAACTGTAAAGTAGCTATTGCTGAATCAGGTAGAGGTGGGAACTTTTACCCCCTGAAAAGTTTGTAAGCTATCAAACTTAAAAAGAAAATTAAGGACATGAAATACAAATGGTGGCAACACTACACATGAGTGGGCAAGCTCTGGGAAGACACCAGCCTGGGATAGCTGTGGCTGTATAGTTTAAGAAGGGGATATACATAGAAAATCCAGTTTTGACCATGTTGTTCCATGTGTCTTTTTGGACACATCTGTATCTTTGTGTAGGCCCTACATGGTGGACTTCTCTGCCATGTGGGAGAGTGGACTGGAGCTCCTTGGAAAATCTAGATTTTCTGGAAGCATATCTGAAAAATCACTTAGTGAAGATGAATGGTGCGACATTAATGTCTGTTGAAAGATGCTCTTCTGGCAGTGATGGGAGAAAGGAGTAAGCAAGTTGATTCTACCTTTAAGTAAAGTTTAGGGGTACTTGTACACATGGCGCCATTACCATGTACATGGGATGACAATGTCACTTTGTGTGGCTTAATGGTGTCACCCTGTATACATGCAAGAGTTTTGGGGGCTTACAATGAGTTTGCCATGTTGCTAATTGCAACAACACAGTTGTTAGCTTGCCCTCTGGTTGCAAGAGGGACAGGCAGGATCCACAGAAAATAAAGATAAGGCTCCTTGCTGCTTCTGCCTTCAGCAGTCTCCTGCAGCTGGCAGGACACTTGGGGCAACCTGGGAATGGGCTGGCTTGCCCCTGGGGCAGCATGGGAAGATGGCAGGATGGTGGTTGGGTTTGGTTGAAGCTGGAGAAGGCTTCGGGGCCAGTGCACAGGGTGCTGGTAGCCCTGGTGGGCTGCTAGCTGGCCAGGTGCTGCCCCAGCTTGGAGGCGCCTGATCCAACACGTCCCCGAGCCTGCCCGGGCTTCCAACACTCCATGCACCATCCCCGCCACCTTCTCTGGCCACCAGTCACTGTAATGTGGTGGAAAAATTGAAACTGTGTTCAAAAACACTTTCAGTTTAGGAGGCATAAAAGAAAACCTTGAGGACTAAACCTCTGTCATGTGTACAAGCAGCTTAGGTGAAAAACCTTTAGGTGAAAAATCATGCTGTTGAAGCTGCTCTGCAGACCTTTATATTGGGTTTAACTCTAAGATCATCCAGGCCATTCCTGTTTTGAGCCCAGTGGCCATCCCAACATGCCATAGTAGACAGAAGGTGGTGGACAGATCAGAGATAACAACTTTCCCTGCTGTTTTACCTACTTTTAGGAAATGAGAAAATTTTGTATTAATATTTCCTGGTGGGAGGGGAAAAGACCTTTGATTTTTTTTCTTTCCCAGCAGCATTTCCCCTCTCATTATTTTCTCAATGCCTTTACATTTTGATTACACATTCATTTGTAATTGTCACACATCAGCTGGAGTTTCACCACTTTCCAGATGATGGTAATCTCCACATACCTGGAAACATGCATTTCTCTACGATGCTTGCAATTGTGTTGCTAAGATCCACAAAAGCCTTGGCTTCACAGTGACCTTCAAGCTGCATTTCAAAAAGAAACAACAGTTCTTAAGAATACTGAACTCATGTAAATGTCCCAGTTCCCCTGCTTATAGGGGAAAAAAGACTTTGAGCTTGATTGGATAGTTATGAATGCTACTGACTGCCTTGGCGTCTCTGAGAGTGTAAGGTGATTAATCCTTTGAGAACCAAGACTTTGGGCTGTTCCCTGAGCTGTTGCCTCTTGTGGTTTGGAGCACACAGTAGTAGAATTTGCAGTAGAAGATAACAATTCAAATGCATTAGTTTGAGGCTAGTACAGCTGCAGATACATTGACAAGACCTGCCAATCTCTAACAAATGCTACACAGAACCACAGACTCACAGAACATGAAGGTTGGAAGGGACCTCTGGAGCTCACATCTAGTCCAAACTCCTGCTCAAAGCAGGACCAGCCCCAACTAGATCATCCCAGCCAAGGCTTTTTCCAGCTGGGTCTTAAAACAAATTTCAAGGTCCACCACCTCTCAGTCCCAGTGCTTTACTGCCCTATTATTCTACTCCCCTATATGTGGTCAGCTCATAAAGTTACTTAACAGTTGGGCAGCTAAACGGTTGTGACCTAGTACTACAAGCCATGTGATCAGTCTTACAGTTCTGGGAGCTTTGCTGAATACATGAATCCTTTGAGAGAGTTGGAAATGGAGGCTCAAACAGATGAAGTGATGAGCTTAAGGTTAACTAGCAAGTCTGTAATGCCAGGACATGGACCTAGATAGTCCAACAGTCACTTCCTTATCAATTCAGAACAGAGTGGTCTCATCCCTTTTCCTTCCAGACAACACTTCTGAAGGGGCACGTCCCCTTAATAACTCGTGAACAGCAATCAGAGAGATGTTCTGCAGTCACACTTATCTGCTACACATAAATTTTGCTGACATATAAGTAGCTTTTGGTAGCCTGCTCATTACTGTCCATTACTGTCCACAAAATGAGTTTGGCAATAGTAGGGATGAAGAGGTCATTTTTCCTCGAGAATGCTTAGGATCATAGAAAAATAAATTTGGCAGAGACCTTAACCCCCTGCTCCAAGTAGGACCATCCCCAACTAGATCATTCCAGCCAGGGCCTTGTCGTGATGGGCCTTAAAAACCTCCAAGGATGGAGAGCCCACCACCTCTCTAGGTAATCCATCGAGGTGTTCACCACCCTCCCAGTGAGAAAGTTTTTCCTAATATCCAACCTAAACCACCCTTGCTGAGACTTCAGGCCATTGTTCCTTGTCCTGTCATCTGCCACCACTGGGAATGGTCTCACTCCATCCTCTTTGGAAGCACCCTTCAGCTAATTAAAGGCTGCTATCAAATCCCCCATTGGTCTTCTCTTCTGCAGACTAAATAAGCCCCACTTGCATAAGCCACTCTCCTGATGGAAAAGCTTCTGTGCAAGCCAGCTGGTAACTCGGTGCTGCTTAGCTGAAATATGTATTTATTTATTATTTCCAGCAAACCTTTCCTACTCAGATGCTATGCAGAAGAGTGGGAATTTGGCTTCTTACTTTCCTTAGGAGCTATCTGCCTGAAACTACGTAAAGCATTTGCCATTTTAATGATGACTTTACTGCTTTCCCAGGCAGAGTACTTGGCCGGGATCTCGTTTAAAATAAAGCTTTATTGGTTTAATGAGACTCGTCTGGTCGCCTACATGAACCTGCAGACTTTTCAAGAGCCCTGATTCAGCATAGCACTCAAACATGCCACTTACTGTTCAGTACCATCAACAAGCATGTGTTTAACTTTAAGCCTATGCTCAAGTCCCAGTGACCTAAAGTGGAGCAAACATTTAACTATTCTGGAGAATCAGAATCTTTCTCATCGTTATTATTTCCTAACATGTATATTCAGCTATACTTGAAGATTACTTACGGCTCCAGAAATGGGCTTGCATTCTGGATGTAAATCCTGATATTCATCCTTTGAGCAATTTGTCTCTTTGATCTTATATTCAACTTCATAGTTTATTCCAGCTACCACCTAGAACAGATATTCAGGAGATTCTCAAATGATTCAGTAAGTCTTTGAGAAATAAAGTTTATTTAATAAAGTCACCAAACGGACAGGAAGGTCATAACATTTTTGCAGGGCCTTCAGTCCAAAGCTTTCAATCATGCTGCAGTTTGTAAGCCAGATCGCACCTCAGCACAGCAGGAAAATATGATCCTTGTTTTGCACAGGGAAGGAAACAGAAAGCAGACCAGCAGATTATGCTGGCGAGAGGGATTGAAGTGGCACTTGGGGAGGGTGCAGGGTTAATTTGTTGCATGCCTGCCAAACAAGTTGTCCCTCACTGCCATAAAACACATCAGTTGCTGACAGTATGTGTTGGCAAGAGGAACAGCTGAAGTAATACTGAATATTGCTCAAAGACAAACCATACTTAGTAACAGCCTAGAGTCCATAGCTAGAAGCACTGACAGTCAGGTGTTCAACAGTGTGTGCCTCAGTTCCCTCTTCTATAGAAGTGAAAAGCGCTGTATAGTTTGGATTATAAGTCTACCTTTCCCCCACCAGAAGAGGCATAAAAATTGCCCTTGACTTCTATGTAGGATGAACCTAAAACCTGCCTGCTGACAATCGGACTTTCATTGCACTGTACTATCTGATTTTTGGTTGACCTTAAAAACATCAACCAATATTCAAGAGATTTTTTTCCCTAAAATTAAATCTGAAAACATGGGTTTTGCTTATATGCAAGATTGACTTATAATTGGAACAATACAGTATTATTTGTACAGCACACATCTTATCACTGTGAAGTATAACATAAAAATGTAATAAAAACAAGGAATATGTGCATAGGAGGAGCCAAAGTACTATCTTCTCTAAAATGAAGGAAAAATCCAATATACCAACCTGACTTGTGGCTTTAATTATTTCACCAACATCATAAAGGTAGCGTTTCTGACTTCTTTTGTTGAAGTTTTGAACAGCAAGCTTCAGAATGGGTAGCAAATCTGGACTGTCTCTATCCATGGGTTGTTTGCATCCAGCACACACATGAGCTGAAAAACAAACCAACCAAAAAATTAATGAGATTTTCTGAAAGAAACAGCTTCACTTATTGGACTAGTCTTGAAGGGTTGTTGTAGCCATGATAGTGCAAGATGCATCTTAGAAGGAAGGGTTCTTTGCTTATATCTTTTTTTGGATCAACCGCATAGTTGGGAGGAATATTAGACAAGCTTTTGGGCACTATGGACATTTATACATATGCTCCGGGATGGGGTGCTCTAATTCGAACAGCTCTGAGAGCTGCTATCACGAAATCCCCTTGCTTCTCGCTTACTAGGCGTAAGTGAACTCTTAGTGCCACAGTGAGCTGGAAGAGGCCTCACAAGACTACCTCGTTTAACCCTCTGCCCAAGGCCTGTGTCTAAATTATCCCAGCCAAATGTCTGTCTATCCTGCTCTTAACAGCAGCCAAAGAGAGAGATCCCACAACCTCTCTAGGTAATTTATTTCAGTATTTAATCACCTTCCCAGTTACAAAGGTCTTCCTACTGTACAACCTAAATCTCCCTTCTTGCCAATTATTATTTGTCATGCCCCCTGCGGATACAGAGAATAGGTGATCACTCTCCTATTTATATCAATCCTTTTTATAGCTGAAGACAGTTATCAAATTCTCGCTTGGTTTAAGGAGTGAGAATTTTTACTCCCTTCAAATAGACAGCAATACAGCAATACAGATCCAGCAATACAGCAATACAGATCCAGATGCGAGTCCCTGGAGGGACATACAGACTTTCAGTTTTGGTTCAGTACAGCAAAATTGGGATCCACATCTGGAATCAGATACTAGGCCCTTCAGCCCTACATTTCTGACGTCTTGGAATCTAAGATTTAGTTTTAGGCTGTTCTCTATTTTTAAGAAGAAAATATAACACATAGCTCTGATGATGTTTGAGAAAGGATATCATTTATCAGCAATGGAGAAGAGAATGGCAAAAGCCACTGGCAGGGCTGGATTAACCCTTTAGTGGGCTCAAGGGCAAAAAAACCTGTGGACCCCTACTTAATACTGTATATTTCCACATCTTCTATTCACTCAATAATTATAATATGTAAAATAAACACAACTTGGGTCCCTTTTTTACTTAGCACCCTAGGCATGTGCCTAGTTTGTCTATGCATTAATCTGGCCCTAGCCGCCAAATACGCCAGTTACAGTTGCAATAAAGAGAGATTTCCCTGAGGTCTGGTTTTACAGAACATCTCACAATCTATGGAGAGCTTATACTCTCCACCAAGCATTAATATTTGAACTGGCAGCTTTTCTGGTGAGCCACCATGATGTAGAGCTCCCGTACAGTTTTACATTCAGCTGCTCAACAGACATATTGGCCAGGGACAGACATTACACATAAACTGGTTTAAGTGATCAGAAACTGGTTTAAACCTGTAACAGAACAGATGTTCGGCGCACATAAACCAGCTTGAGAATGGTGGAAACTGGCTTGAGATACACCTGGTTGAATGTAGTATCATAAATTCATAAATTCATACATGCTAGGGTTGGAAGGGACCTCAACAGATCATCAAGTCCGACCCCCTGCCTAGGCAGGGAAGAATGCTGGGGTCAGATGACCCCAGCCGGATGCTTATCCAGCCTTCTCTTAAAGACCCCCAAGGTAGGGGAGAGCACCACCTCCCTTGGAAGCCCAACCAGACTTAACTGATTTGGCTCAAACTGGGTTATGCAATGTCTGTCCAAGACCCCTTGCTGGTTTAAATGAAATCAGACTCCCCCCAACATCCCGGCATGCTCTCTGGGCAGGGCTCTCTGCTCTACAGCACAGCTGGCCCCTCCCCTCTGCTCCCTGGCTGCAGCTCTGACAGTCTCTGCAGATGTCTGCCTGGCTTCTGCTCCCCCACCCCCCCACCAGTGCCTGCTAGGCAAGCATTCCCCCGTCCCTCACAAACACCTCTCAGCATTAGCTAGCAGACCACATGCTGGCTACTTCTGAGCTGATGCACATGGAACAAAGGCAGAATCACCAGATAGCTGGTAATGTTCCCCTGTTGTTTTCTTAATGGGGTGAGAAGCACAGAGTTAGAGGTGATAAACATCCCCTGTTGGGCTGCTGAGGAGGAAGGAAGCACCCTCCCCAATTAGAGCATCCTGAAGGGGCCTGGCCACACCCCCTCAGCTCAGCACTGTGGAAGGGAAGTGGGGGCTTCTAGCCTGAGCCACTGCGGGCATGTGCCTACATTTCTGGGATGTCTGTCTGGTTACAAAACTGATTTAGCCTAGCCAGGTTAGACTAACCTCCAGTGATTGAATCAATTCAGGCTCAGGCTTGTTGAATGTCTGTCTCTAGCCATTGTGAGAGCTGCCTCTAACTTTTGCCCAGGCAACCCAGCACTTATCAGTTTTCAGTAAAATCAACTTTCAGGCACCACCACGTTGGGCTATTTTTGACTAAAAGCCTAAATGGAGGAGGCTCTAGGCTGTGTTCCCTACCACTAACCCTGTTACCCCTGTTTTCTGCCTGATAATGATGGGTTGGATTTTCATACATTAATTTCATAGTTCAATGCATAAATTAATTTCATAACTCACTGAACCTGAGAATCAAAGTGAGTATTAGATCTCTATGGAATTGGGGTAGTGTTTGTGGGCCTGATCCTCACCTGATGTAATCTGGCTTTAAGTGGAACAATTTAAGGGCACGGTAGAACTGTTCCTGTATTAATGGCTGAACAATATGGTGCTCACATATGAGCGACTGAGCTGTGAAATCATTCACCAGGCTGAACCCATTGCTATTGACCTCTTTCCACAGGAATCTTTGGATGAGATTCTGCTCTTAATGCCAAATGGCAAAGCAGTCATATCCGTTACAAAAAACCAAGTTCCTATTTTCAGTGAGCAGTCAGAAACCAGACAGATCAAGACACAGAGTGCATTCTGTTCTAAAGAGGCTATGGTTTTAACTTTTTTCTTGAGCTGTGAACAAACTTGTATATTTTTCACTGGCTTGGTAAAACAGCAGTGCTTGTCATGCTGCCTGGCTAAGATACTGAGTTCAAATTTATATCTGTAGTTTGACAAGTGAAGATTTAAATGCATATCTCACATTACTCCTCTGTGTAATACACATACTTCTCATTAACTTTACTGGCACCTAGATGTCACCATTGCCCTGCAAATGCATCTGAAATCAAATAAGATGTAGTTGGCAGTAAAACCTGGAGATTGTCTACCCTGCAGGCACTGCACACACTGAAGCTAGCTTTAAACTAGCTGGCTCGGGTGCTGTTACCTGTATAGCCACAGGAACGTGGGACTCAGGATAAACTGCAAAACACATATGTGCTAGGCTGGGTAGCCTACTCTGAGCTCTGCGCTGCTGCAGCTGCATTGGTAGCAGTCCCTAAAGTATGTTAACTGCAATCACAGCCATGACTGCAGTGTGTCATGGCTGTGATGGGATGATTGAATTGCAGATGGTCCTGCCTTGAGCAGGAGGTTGGACTAGGTGACCTCCTGAGGTCTTCTCCAACCCTAACTTTCTATGAGTCTATGTGTACATCCCTCTGGATACTTAAAGAAAGAAGCCCAGCTCTGATGCATTCAAGCCTGGTAACGTCTTTCCAATAAAGGAATGTATTCCAGGGGCATTTTGCAGATATCCATGCAGATGTGTAGATTATAAGCAAGCAGTGTAGTGCCAATCAAGTGGCCTAAGTATTTTCCTTTGAAAGGGTCATTTTCAGATTCCACCATCTTTTGATGATTCTACCACTGTCAGACTTTTACTCTGGAGGATAAATCTGTCCACTTTACTTTTTTCTCTGTGAAGCCTCTTTTTTGTGGCAAGTTTCAGTAAAATGAGTGCAGCCCTTTATATTTTGGAAGAAAGTGAGAAACTAGTTTTCCCATGCAACAAAGCTTTTTGTCGTTTCAGTATTTGGGGGATCGAGACTTAAAATTTGATGAGAGGGAAGCAAATCCCTAGGTCATAGATGTGCCTTTAGTCCAGTGAAAATCCTTTTTGATTTGGTAGAGATCTAAGGGTTTCAGAGGTACTTTGCTCAGGTGCTTTGGGTTTCTTTACACAAAACCAAATTTTACTAATAATCTATTGGTGTTTCATAGACTCAGCACTTACATGCATAAGAAGGTAGAGCAGAATTTCACTTTTTCCTTGCATGGTGGCCTATGATATATGATTAATGAGGTCCTGAATGGAGTGATGCAATGCTTCTTTCTTTAAAATTACCAGAAGATCTCAGCATAGGCTCTTTTGTTTTTTGTTTTAGTCAGTACTTACCTAATGTCCCCCTGAACAGTCACGTACCTGGCCTGATTCTGCATTCCTGTGAAACATTACTTATTTTCTGGGTCTTGTCAATGTAAACTTCAGCGGTACATTCTCCTGATTCCTACAGACACAGATGACACCATTTATTTTTAATCGACTTGATGCAGAAATCCAGTTAGAACCACACCTATTGGTGTGAAATATTCCTGAAGCATTTTGTTGAAACAGAATACAGTCGGCAAGCGTAACCAGTGCTTAGTGGATAAGAGGAATACAGGCTGACATGAGCAATCATGGTTGTTCATGAAGGACTGTCATGTTTACTGTCTAAATTAGTCCAAGATTTCCTGTGGAAGGGGCGGGTTGGCTGATCACAGGAAAGCGGGAGCTGGGCTAAGCAGATAGTATGAAAGGTATCTTTTGTTTCATGATTAACAAATGTGGTTGGAATCTCTAATTTTATATTGCAACTCTTCCTTAATTAGCTAATGCACCTGGCACCTGGAATGCATACTTTTCAATAAATAAAGAATGTCTCATTTGCAAACTTAACTACCGGGGCTAAAGCTGCCCCCTGCTAGCACAGAATCTGGATCTCATGGGGCAGCTGGGCTCACAGCACTTCACGGTGATTCAGGTGGGACCCGAGGTTCATGGAGTAGGGGTCAAACAGGAATTATACAGGTACTGAGGTGTACTGAATCCTATGGCTGCCCTATTTACAACCTGTCCCTGGGACGGGCTGGCTGCAAGTCTCCATTGGAAGGAAGCTTGTGATTCTTTGAACTGCCATCAGGCCCTCCTCATGAATTTTCTACCCCTCTCCTACTCGGGGTGGTTTTTACTGGTACAGACCTGGAGTCAATTTACTCCAAGCTTTCCATACGTGCATGTGGTATCTATTGTGATAGTTGCCCCCAGTGTATACAGACTGCTCCAGCCTCTTGTACCATGCCTACTTACACTGCAGTTTTAGTTTGAAAATGTTTTGCATAAAAACAGCTCCTCCCTGCTCAGCAGGTCTGGCCCTTGAAGGCACCCATCGATTTGGTGATGAAAACACTTTTAGATTGCATTTGACTCCTGTCAGCCCTCCAAAAACAACTCTGTGAAGAGAATGAGCCAGCTTCTATTCCTTCTCAAGTGCCACAAATGAAAACATTCACTTAATGCCAAGCATTTCCATATGTGCAATCTCACTGAAGGCAACACAGGTTATACAGATTTAACACAGGGCACAACTCAGCCTGCTGAATCTTTTTTCTACCAGTAATGGCATGTAAAGAGAGAGCTCGTGACTTGACTTCCACACACTAAGTTGGGTTTGTAGGGCTGGCAGGTAGCAGTAAGTGTGAGGGGACCCAGCTACATCTTTTTATTTTTTACTTGAAGGAGCACATCTTTTCTGCCAGCCTATTGAGACACAACCCCACAATGCCATTGGCACAGTTGCTTTCCAAAGCAGAACTGCACACTTTCCCCAGGAGACTGGTAACTGGTGGATTACATTGCTATTTCCAGAAAGAGAATTTTGAAAGAAGAGGGCAGCCACTTACAGCTTCCACAGATTCTCTGTAATCACAGTCTTGCCAGGGTTTGCCTTCCCCAATGGCACAAGTGCTCTCTCTTATTTGATACTTCACAAAGAACTGTGCGCCAGGACCTGCCTGGGAAAAAAACAACAACATGAAGTCATCATTCGCACTCTAATAAGACAGCAGAGCATTGGAGGCAATGAGTATTTCAAAGAGTTAAGGTTAACTTACTAGTGTACAGCAAGGAGGTATAAAATGGGCTTCAAATTAGCTACTGGTCTCCACTGAGCTGATCTCTAAAATCTTTCTGACCCAGTAATTTACCCTGCCAAATACAGACTTTGTTCTAGTTAGCCATTGCTGAGGCTGTTCAAAATACTGTCTCTCCGATGGAGGAAGGTTGAAAGAGAAACAGTTATGTTTTCAATACTCCTTTGTAGTCTGTGCACTCTGATTAAGAAAATGTGGGCTGCTATTTCAACGGTCTGCAGGTCTGTCGTTGCAGACTGTGCTTGAGTCAGACTTTATCAGTTTAGCAGGGCTGAGCGAGTTCAGCAGAAGGATGGGAAACTTTCCCAGGAAAACCCTGGTAGCAGCGGCAGGCTGCAGAGATTGGTGCTGATAATATAGTAATAGACACTTCTCTCTATGCCCCAAACTCAGTCGCAAATCAGTGATTTCACGTGGCAATTGGAGGCACTGCAATATGTAAGATGCAGCTTATGGGTGAGATGTTAAACCAAGCTTATTACTGATTTTAGTCACTAGAGATTCTGTGGTAACCTCACCAAAGCTGAGTTTGCACCTGCAGGTGATTACATTTGTCTTCCTTCAAGTCCTTGCAGCCTTGAACTGGAGGTAGATCCCCAGGTCTGCCATGCTGAAGCCAAGTGGGTGATGGTGGAGTGATGTTGGATTTGCACTGAGAAAATTGAGAGGAGACTTTGGCCCAAGGCTTTCTCTTATTTCCTGTTGTATATTGTCAAGCATTGCAACAGACCTGCTGCAGCTCCCTTGGCCATGGAATGCCTACCAAAGGTTTTCTAAAAATATACTGGGCTGAATCATCTGCTGATGTAAATTGACTCTTAAGGAGCAAATGGACTTTTATGGATCCTCCAGTGGTTTAATTTTTATGTCAGATTGCCCTTTGCCCAAAGCCAGGAATAATAACTCAGTTCAGTCCAATGAATTGTAGGTGTAAACAAGAGAGGGAGTTGCCTCTTTGTTTTATTGTTTGTTGCTTTGTTTCATTATTATTACCAATAGCTATGCCTTTCACTGGGGTAGGCTCAATCTCTCGCCAGTCAGCTTTTATGTTTTAGTAGCTTATCAATAATGAATGTACATGAAAATGTAATAACAAGGCAATTAATTAATGCATTTGGTGTTGCAAGACTGCCGAAATGTAAAATCTACTTCCTATTTAGAGGAAGCATTAAGAACGTGGCCAATTCTTTCAATAGCCTTGGTCACTCACTGAGCGCGTGGGGTGGGGCAGGGGTGTTCAGTGGCATGGGTGAGGGGAAAGCAAATGTTATCCTCTGGCCCGCTGCGTAGCATCAGCAGTGTCAACTCTCTTGTGCCCAGGCTTCCTTCAGATTGGATCCGGGTGTCCTGTTCACTTTCCCCCACCCCATACACACATATTGGGGGCAGGGCTGTGCCTATTTTTGCATCAGCTCCCAGATGCTGGGGGAGCATCATTCTGCTTGCCCCACTCACTCCCCATCCCCCAGATACATTGCTTCATGTGACACTGCTCTGCTTGGTTCGTATGGCGAGGCAGGGGCTGCGCAGAGCTTCCCCTGCTACAACAAAGACTCTCCTGGAGAAGGAGGGATCCTGGCACCTCTTCACAGTCAGCACCCAGGATGGGTGGCCCCCTCACCCCACAGCTGTTGTGTCTCTTCTTAGCTGTGCAGCTGAATCCCTCTGTGCATTCAGGCCTGGGCCAGGATAGGCCTGGCTTTTCTTTTTTGAGTTATTTTGCAGTTTTCTGATCCAGCAGAGCTGAGGATCAGGGCTAGGAATTTGGAGGATGTGGCTTGCTGACTGAAGCCTCAAAGCCACCATGCAGAAGTGGAAATCAGTGCCCTACAGCTTTCCAGGGAGCAATGAGGGGCCCCTTGCACTGCGGAAGGACCTATGCTCACTAGCAGCTCCCCGAGATGCAGCAAATCCCAAGGAGCAGCTCATAGGACTATCCTGCTAAGTAGCAGGTATTGGGGTGCAGGCCCCCAGAGCTATTCCTTTGGGTGACCCCCAAGCCCCAGACTGTCTGGGTATGGTTGAAGCCTCCCCTAGAGGGTGCAACTTATAAACTGTGCCTTATAGTTGTTAGTGTTTTAAATTGCATTTGGTATTTTTGCGTGTTTACCTTGCCTTTATTTTCTATAATAAATCTGTCCTTTTATATTTACGCTGCTTGCAAGGAGGAGGCTTTATTTATGAGCAAGACCCCAAACAAATTCAGTGATCCCAGATTTGTGGGGGCTTGAGAAAATTTCTCTGGTACCCTGGAATTTGCCTCTTGTCCCTAGGGCTCTTGGACCCTCCTGCCTTCACCTCCTTCTAGCATACGTTGGCTGATGTCAAGCATAGAAAACGTGGAGCCTAAGTGTCAGGAGATGTAAATTCTAGTCCCACTTCTGCTGCTAGCTCACTTTATGACCTTGAACATGCCTGCATAAAGTGCTTTGAGATCTTTGTGTGTAAAATAGTCTAATGATTCATACTGAAATCTATTGCGGCAGGAAAACAAATGTGAATGCTGGTCGAAGGAAAAAGCAATGCCTCCCATTATCCTTCTAGTAACATTGTCTTTGTGTGGCCCTTGAGAGTAAATACTCTTGTTTGATTAATGCTGAACAGAAAAGACTGGAGGCAAAAGATCCTGCCTGACCTTTTTTTCCTCCAACTTCAGCTTCCTCCATGTTTGACTAAGACAGCGCCTGGTCTTTTTTGATAAAGATGTGACTCAGAACTAGCCCCAATCACATATCATCCACAGATAATTTATTCAAAATATTTCCATCATTGGTTAAGTCCATTATTTAGAATTTTTATCATGACCGTTACCAGCTCTTCTCAGAAGACCACATTAAACTTCCTAACAAGTGAGCTTCGCCAGCAGGAAAATTTTCCTAGTGGTGAGTAAACAACATTTGCAACACAGAAAAGGAAACAGGTTCACTTGGTAGGGTGACAAGTTGGGGCAGTAGTAGAGTTGGGAACAGAAACCTTGGTTGTCTGACTTAGTCCTGCCCTGGTGGCATTGGAGAGACTCAGTTATATGATAGGGCCAAATTCTGATACATTTACTCATGTGGAGTAGCATGTTGCTTCTCAAGTGGATCCATTGATTTCAAAGGAGCTACGTAGTATGCCTGTGCAAAGCGGCTAGTATTCGATTCAGATTCGGCCAGTTCGGGGGGACAGTGATTCAATTTGGTGATTTGAATCACTGTCCCGATTTGATTTGGCCGAATCTCTGAATCAGCCAGGCCATGCCCATCCCCCGCCTCTCTCCCAGCCCAGCAATGGCTGCCCCAGCTCCCGGCACTTGTAAAAAAAAAAAAGAAGCCCCG